ATATAATATATATATAATATATATATATAATATATATATATATTATATATATACCTATATTATATATTGTGTTTACTTTTACTTCACTTAAAGCGATGTTATTGCAACAAAATCACTTTTAAAACAAAAAAAAACAAAAATTTTAGAACTTTAATTGTTTTATTTCTTAATGTTGTATTAACGGTATTTGAAAGATCCATACTGACAATGAGCGCGGAAACGTATATGCCGCACCTATAATATTCATATAATATAATAATTATGTACCTCGACAAATTTGGCTCATTATTTATACTACAAATTGAAAAAGATTTAGAAACGCTTAATGCATCGATATCTCACCAAATTTGAAGTGCTGACGGAACAATCTTTTTTCAGAAATTCTTGTGGAATTATTGTGCAATTTTCGATTATTGCTTGCACCACGTTTTACGGACGTGAAATGTTACACATAGCATTCATTCATATCGTGTCAAGTCAGATACATTATCGTTTCCGCAGGTGTGTTCGTTTCGTTTTTCGGTGAATTCATGATGCAATACGGATCGGGACATTCGTAAGACGTAGGACCTAAAGGTGAGAGCAGTGACGTAGGAACGATGAACATTTTGCTGAAATTGGCAAAAAGTTGCTTGCACTGTGCATTTTAAACTTCAAAGATGTTTTTTTGTGGAGAATTAAACTGCAGCTGAGCAGTGCTTGTTAACGAGAATTCGTACGTGATTGTGTTTTTATCCAAGAGACATTGAATGTGTATATTTCTTTAAGCGACAGCAAAAAAACCGTATCAGTATACGGCGAGAAATCACGTTCGCAGAGAATGCTGAATCTCAGTGCGATCTCAGTTTTCAACAGTGCGAGATTATTTATTGTTTTAGCGAAGGACAAAGAGAGCCGTGAAGCGTCGAAATAGCGAGTGGATTTTCTATTATTTTCATCATCGCGTTTGCTTTTAATTCTTTGTCGTATTTTTAGAAGCGCAAGAAAGGAAAGAGACTGGATTATCTCTCGGATTTTGGAGAGTGAGCGTGTTCCGCGCCAATGGACACGCGCGTTCGTGCGCGGCCGCCGCTTAGCGTCGCGCCAGTTCGATCGCCGAGCGGCGGAATCACATGAAAAGGGTAGGAGACGGTGGTGAGCGTACCGGCGAGCGCGGCCGCGAAGAAGCGAGCGACAGTTCGGCGATTGCGGCCCGGCACGTAAGTCGTGCACGTGTGTCCGTCGCGTGAGACGCTCCTTGCCACGTGGTGATACGCGAGCGTGCGCGCGCGCGCGCGCGGGCTTTTCCTCTCTCTGTCTCCCTGTATAAATATTCTCTGTCCTTTTTCCGTCTCCGCTTATCTTTCTCAGCTTCCGCTTTCCCTCCGCCTTGCCCACATACATATGTCACCGCGTCGCACGCACTCGCGGTAATGCTCACGCGGCACGCCGCGGCAACCGTCGTCGCCCGAACGCTCCGAGCCGTCGCGTGGAAACGTGCGTGACGCTCGCGTGCGCGCGCGCGTGTGCTCCGATTTTCGGGGAGGACTTTTCAACGCGACGCGCCGGACAAAGCCGAAGATGCCGGACAAAGTAGCCCCGGCGGAGAAGCAAATCCTGCGGCCCGCCGCCGCCGCGGGATCCAACGGCGACGACGCGGGCGTCAAGCTGAAGAAGGAGCTGGGCCTGTGGGACGGCGTGGCGATCATCGTCGGCATCATCGTCGGCGCCGGTATCTTCGTGTCGCCCAAGGGCGTGCTTAGGAACAGCGGCAGCGTCGGCCAGGCTCTCTTCGTCTGGATCTTCTCCGGGATCCTGTCGCTCATCGGAGCTCTATGTTACGCCGAGCTCGGTAAGTGATGAAATATTTTGGAACGGTTGCTCCTCTTTCCACGAGCTTTTGAAATTCAAATTGACGCGATGAACACAGAAGGGGGAAAGCAGGATCGGAACTGGTTGCACTCCGATGCCTAACGTATAAGAATAGATCCTAAAAGGTAGTCATCTTTCTACAAAAATAAATATGTAAAACACTAATGTGGAAAAAATATATTATGTTTAATTATTTTTAATTATCGTAAAGAAAGATATATACGCGGTATAACAATTAATTTGCAACGTTTGTCGTTGCATCATGAATAGGTAAATGAAATTTTGTAACAATTATCATGTCATCAATATATTATTAATGCCATTAGAATGTAAATTTAGAACGGTAGCTATATGTAAAAATTTAATAACTTTTTAGAGATATGTGTATTTCTCTTTTACATCACACAAGTTTGTATATTATTATATCATTTTGGTATCTTTTACTTACATTTCTTCTTTATATATGTACACATTAGAAAAAAATGGAATAGTTTTAAATACGAGGCAAAGTAACATTTTTATTCATATCCAATTTCAAATAAAAAGCATAGTATACATGAATAAAAAGTGCTATTATTTTTCTGAAAAATAACAATTTTTACATGAAAATTGTCTAAAGCTGTTAAAAATTACTGCATTTAAAATTTTTTACTCTTCTATGTATATAAAGTGTAATCCTTTCTGATTTCGATCCGTTTCTAAAAATCGAAATTTTTAATTTCAAAGAGGTAAGCATACGTGCCTTTTAGTTACATACCTACTTTGGCTATTTTATATTCTGTTTGTTTGGTATATTGTTTCTTTGTCCTGCAGTGAACGATACTATTAGTATAGCAATGGTACTGTTTGTATACGCACGTGGCACGAGCGTCAGCACGGCCATATGCTGATGCTTACATTCGTGCGATATCTCTATGACCATAATTCACTGACAATGACTTAAGAAAGGGTAAAAGGGAGTGCAAATTTCATAACTGCTTTTAAACAAGAGAAGGAAAATAAAGAAGGCAATCGTCTTCAATAAAATCCGAACATTCTTGAAACCGTAAATATTTTATTTTACAATTTACAGCCTGAAATTTTATGATAAAAAATAAAAAAGGAGAAAAAGTTCTAATCATTTTCGAATATTTTTGACGCGTGATATATTCTTCCAATCACTACAAATTATATTAAAAAATTAATGTAAATTAATAATTTTGATATTTTTGTATTTTGCCGAAAAATTCTCCCGCGACAACGAAGGACATCTAAATGAAAATTAAGAGAAGCGTGGCATTTACTTTGTTTATTTATTTTATCGATAATTCTTAATCTGAAGACCATAGATTCCCAGCGCAAAATTTCCTTCCAAAGAGAACCAAAGCTTACCGAAATCCATTGTTGAGCGAATTGAGAATTTGTAACGAGTTCGTTGTCAGTCGCACAATTTTTCCACATCTAGTTTTATCTGCTAATAAAAAATAATTAGTAATCGTAATTTAAATTGCTTACTTCTTACGCGTCAAGTTATCGAACTTAATTATACGTATGTTAGTTATCGTTTCATTTTCTGCAATCTTCTCAAGGACACATATTGTATTTACATTTTTAAAAGTACGTAAATTTGTATCTCTCGATCAGCAGGTCATCTACTCATCATTCTGCGGGACTGAACTTACTGAATATCCGCAATCTTGCGCTAACAACGATACAAAGCTTTAAAGTTCACTTTACATGATCTATAATTTGCGACAGAATTCGAGACAGAATTCTATTTATAATTTTGTATATCAAATTGTAGAATATAATTATAGATGAGAAAAAATACTCATATCGTCAATATCGAGTATAGGAAGTCGATTTTAGCATTGAGTATTTTTAGTATTGATATTTTATCTTCGATATTACTCACTCTTTGCCCGATTGAAGGCGTTCTTAAGGCGTCAAGACTAAACTATTTTTGTGATTCTTGATAAAACGTCACACAAGCTTACGATCAAAAAAAAAGAAAAGCAAAAAAGAGGGAAGTGTAGAAAATAGAAAAACGGAAAGACTAGACCGACCGTAAAATTCGGGCCGCGATTCCGCTGATGAACGAGAGACCGCGAGAACCGCAGAATGAACGAGCGATACGATAAGGCGCGTTCGCTGTATCCTGTATCTCATCGCAGGGTTGATTTGCGAGGAAACAAAATCGTTTCGCGTGCACGCTCCGCATTCAGAATCGACGAATGCAACAGCGCAGCGTAACACATGTGTACATGATTTGACCCCTGACCTGATGGCAATTAAGTAATGTTACGCGCGTTATCGCATGACGAGATATAGTGAGTAATATTTTTCGTCCGAGTGATCCCTGACACGTCGAGAGACCTTCCGCGATTTTCAAGACGAAAATTTAATTTGGCATCTTTCCATTTATCGGAACTTATTACTGAAATTCTATATAAAAATATTCGATAGATAAATAATACTGTATAATCAATCAAATAAGACAGAATAACGTAAAACATGATTGCATCTTTATGTTTTTTTTCAAGTTTATCTTTTTTTAAATCTTCTTTCTTTGTCAACTTATTTCTAGTTATTTCTAGTAGAAACTAATTTGTTTTTATGTTAATTTATTTTTTTCTGAATTTCTCTGGCGAAAATAAAAATTGTAATTGTAAATCAAATGTAAGTGAAGAATGACAGAAATGTAAGGAAAACGCTCTAAGGAACAATGGAATGTAAAAAAAGTGTTAAAACGCTTCGTAAACGTTTTATATGCTTCTTTTACGTTTCGTTGTCCCAATCTACATTCTTTAGAACGTTTGCGTACTCTTATTCTGTCACTTTTTCCTTATATTTGATTTACGCTTGTTTTTGTTTTTACGTTTTATTTTCGTTAGAGTATTTATAAGTTAGAGTATTTATTCGTTAGAGTTATTATAAGTTATTATAATTTTATATATTTTTTTATACCTTTCTTTCATATTTTTATTATCTGCTTCCCAGTGAGAAATGGTTTTCAATTCGATGTCGAAATCATTGTATCGTCAATTTGACATCGATTCGACTTATTCCATTTAATTGCTTTTTTTTTAAGTGAGATGTAATTACGTCGATCTAAATGATTTCTGTATCACCAGATTCTCTATTATTTTATTTTATTTGTAAAAGAAGTTGTCTGCTAAATTCGTAAAAAGAATAGATGACATTGTTCTTGCATCAACATACAGGTACGATGATCCCCAAATCCGGGGGCGATTATGCGTACATCAGCGATGCCTTCGGACCTTTGCCGGCGTTTCTTTATCTTTGGGTGGCTTTGTTCGTCCTAGTACCAACGGGGAACGCGATCACAGCTCTTACGTTCGCACAGTACATACTGCAACCTGTATGGCCCGGATGCGAACCGCCGTATGCAGCGGTGCGACTACTCGCTGCCGTGATCACATGTAAGATAAATAAATATATATATTTTTTCTTTTTATAGTAAAATTTGAAAGTATATGGTGTGTGGCCTAATAAAATATATCGAATAACTTTTAAAAGCTTTTAGTTGATTATGTCTTCTAATACGATTGCTTGTACTAAGTTTCCATCAGCTTTTCTCTCTATTTATTGTTAGCTGATCAATATTTCTCTCAGGAATTGCAGACGTCACATCAATTGTTATAAATATCGCGTGTATACAGAGTGTCCAGAAATTCGCCCGTACTACTTCTTGAGATAATTAATTCGGGACCAAGAAAGAAGGAAAAAAAGTTATATAATCATAGATTCGGAAATGAGTTGTTCTCGAGTTATAGACTTTTATGTTAACACTTTTATGTTAAAATAATTGTAAATAAATCGTAATAAAATTCGTAATAATAATCATAATAAATTATGTTTAATATGATTATGACAATAAAAAATAAATTACGATTTTGTTTAAGTTATAGCTATTTTCATGTTAAATAATCGTAATTTATTTGTTATAATCATAATAATTATAATTTATTATTAACTATTATTATAATTTATTACGATTTATTTATGATTATTTTAACATAAAAGTGGCTATAACTCGGAAACAACTCATTTCCGGACTACCTACGTTTTCCTTCTTTTTGAATACCGAAGCACCTCAAGAAGTAGTGTGGGCGAATTTCCGGACATTCCGAATTTCCCTGTATATATATGTACGTATAAATGTTTGTCGCAGTTTATCGTACCGGCCAAAAGTATCTTGACGCACGTGTGCAGTGAAATGTGCAACGATCGCGCGAAAGATTCCCGCAAAAACACGATGCAAATGTACGCATCGCAACTTTTAAATATAGCCCGGAGAAACGTTATTCACTCTCTCATCGGATCGGATTGTTTTCACGCACGCGTTTGTTGCACAGAAATACACAGTGAGCGCGACGACAGTATAATTTCACCATTCTGTCACGTCCACAGGTCTGTTGACCGTCATTAATTGCTACAATGTCAAATGGGCGACCAGAGTGCAGGATATATTCACCGGCACCAAGATCTTCGCCCTGGTAATCATTATGGTGGCCGGTTTCTGGTGGCTCTGCATGGGCCACACGGAAAACTTCCAGTATCCGATGGCTGGCACGAACACCCAGCCCGGTTACATCGCTCTGGCAATTTATTCCGGACTGTTCTCCTATTCGGGCTGGAACTATCTCAACTTCGTGACGGAGGAACTCCAAGATCCCTACAAGTAATTGTCGTAAATACAATTGGGATTAAACTCTCCAATTTTGCGTCCCTATCGCGATTCTTTTAATTTCTAATAAGAGAAGAGGATAACACCTGACCGAACGGTCAAATATATTATATCGAGCATTTGCTTATTGATAGACCATACTCCATAGTGCGTTGTGCTCAATTAATTTATACAAAATCAATATTTATATTTGCTTAATATTTGTTAATGTAATTGTAATTCAATTAATTATTATTCAAACCATATGATAGAACTTGCAAATTTAATAAATAATAAATAAAGTTTTACACAAATTAAGATAGTTTTTAAAGAGCATGTTACTGCACGCCATTTGCTGCACCAACTCGTATAGTATTCGCCGCTTCTTTTATTTATTATTTATTATTATTAATTCTTAGAACTTTATCTTATATTTTATTAGAAATATTAATACAAAATAAGTATTTGTTTTTTTTCACTTTACCTGGACTTGAGACTATTCAGTTGGAATTATTTGAGCGAACAGCAGCAAATGATTGATTTCTTAGCTGAACAAAATTGCATATAATGATATACATATAGCGTACTACAAATTCAGAAAAGTCATACATATTGCAAAAAAAATAGAAGAATTATTTTCGTAAATATATACACCTCTAATATAAGCCCTCTAATATAAGCTGAAGTAGTAGTAATTTTTCTTAATATTTGTTTTTTCATATTAGAGGAGCGTGTTTATATTTACGAAGACAATTCTTCTATTCTTGTCAGAGTGTAGTAATCTCTCATCGTATTTCTGCGGTGTGCGCTGTTTACAATTTACGCAGATATACGGGACGTACAGTTTAATGCCGATTTCGGGAATGGCTTTAATTAGGAGTTTTCATGACAAGATATATATACTCTCGATAGGGTTCGCCATTGCCTTCCGAGAGGTAGCGATCGAATAAAAATCCGATGTTTCTGGTCGGATATTGAATTTGGATCTTTGGCACAGAAGGCAGACGCACATCTCTCTGCGCCACGATCGCTACGCGAAGACAATAAGCATAACAGAGACTTGTAGAAACTTTCATAATGATTATTGTTTCTTCCATTCTCACAGGAATCTTCCGAAGGCGATTTGTATATCACTGCCGCTGGTAACAGTGATTTATGTTTTCGCGAACGTCGCCTACTTCGTCGTACTCACGCAGGATGAAATACTCGCATCGAATGCCGTCGCTGTTGTAAGTACACTTTTACAATCGTTAACAACGATTGTAGATACGTGGAGTATCGATCCACGATTGGTTCGCTGCCAAGCGATTGCACTCGCACGAATATTTTAGCGTCAAAAGAGAGCAATATGTAGACTCTTTAATGTATAAAGATAATAAATCTTGAAGAGTAAATTTTAGGAAAGATGAGAAATTCAAAAACTTCAATTCACGCAATTTGCTTGTATTAAATTGATCATATTGGTATTATATGTTGAGCAATAAATTGAAGTGAATGCAGCGTGCGCGATCGCTTACACATGCGTTACTGCTTTTCGAAGCAAGAATTTTTACTCGGTACAAATTAATAAATTGTACGGTATATATCGCGAGAAGTGAAATGCATCGATCTAATGCAACCTATCTCATACAGAAAAAAAATTACGCAATCTTGCAGTTATTTTACGCTATGCTGTTCCACTTTTGCTATAGCCTAATATTAAATCGGAATTTCCTTTCTAGACCTTTGGCGATAAACTGTTGGGCGTTATGTCATGGATCATGCCATTTTTCGTGGCATGCTCGACTTTCGGAGCATTGAACGGGGCGATCTTCGCGTCGTCAAGGTTGTTCTTCGTCGGTGCCCGAAACGGACACCTCCCCACTGCCATTGCCCTCATTAATGTCCGCAACTTGACGCCAATGCCATCCCTCATTTTCCTCGTAAGTATATCACACTCTCATAAAATGCAAAAAGAAAAAAAATTGACTAAAATAGAATTTATTATATAGAATTAACTATATAGATTAATTAATTTATTAATTTAATTACAGAATAATTATAATGCTCTGAAAATTGAAAAGTTCAGATTAATTAATTTTATTATTATAATAGAATCAATTAATTTATACTCCTCAATTTTCAGAGCTTTTGATCAGAATATTAAGACAATTGAAAATAAAAAAATTTTTTTTTTTTGAGATATTTCACACAACAAATATCTTTTGATATTATTGCGAACGGAACTTGAATAAAGTAAATAAATATCGCTGACACTTGTTGAATTTTACGGCAATTGATTGCAAGTCGTTCACCTTGAAATATGCCATACATCTCAGTGGTAATTAAATATATTTATTTTTTATATTATTTCGATCATTACCGATAACTTTTTAAGTTATCGCGGTAATGATTTTAGTATCATATAGAACGGCGTGTATGATGTTTGTGCAGTGACTTTCGTCTGGCGATAACGAAAATGGGATGTGACAATGATTCATATGTTATATATGATAAACACCTCATTAATTGGCGTATCGGAATTGATACAATGATATTGAATTTGTTATTATAAAATTTGTTTGTTTAAATTAATTCAAAATAATCGATATTTGTGCGTTTGTATGATATGACATTAAATCCAAACATTTCGAAAGCGTATTACGAAAAAATTGGTTATATAATTGTTAATTGTTTTACGTAAATTTTTGGCCGCATTTCTTCGGAAATTGTTTAAACTTTCTTTGATAAGAATATTTAAAGAACACAATAATGCCTGTTGTATTATCTCAGATATTTCGCCTGAGCGGAAATACCACATCTAATGTAAATACTTAAAGAAGGCAATCAGTTTTTTGCGCCTTTTACTACTATCGAAGTAATCTGCGTTTCGCGTGCGATAATTCGGCCCGTTCAATTGCCGGGAATAGAATTAATTGACGTGTATAAATCGGACCCCGCGAAATCACATTAAAGCCGGAGTCTTAATGAAATAAACGAAGCCAGCCGGATCAGAGCAGCGACATACGTAGCGGCACATTACTATATGTATAGCTCGACATTTTGATTTGCGGCTCGTTAATTGAGAGCGATAAATTGATCCTTTCATGTCGCTCTCTGGCCCCGTGTCTCTTTGATCGGTAACGGAAGTCTGCTCGCAATCTCTGTTCCTTTCTGCGAACGAAATAAAATATTAAAGGGATCGGCCGCGCTCAAAATCACTTCACATATTTTTAATACAAACGTGTCAATTACTCGTTTTAATAGAGATATATATAATTAATTATGTGGCATGTGTCTAACAGAGATTATAAATAACTTCTTAATTTTTCGGCGATAGCTTTTGAAATAGAAGAAATTCAGATAATTTACTAGAGATCTTCGTAGATCGAAAATTTTCCTCGCTAACAAAAATAAAATAATAAAATTTACCTTATTTTAAAAAAATAGATTCTATTTTTTTTTTCTTTGAATGGAATATCAATTTTAGATCCCGATGGCAAAATTATCAGGAACCAAGTGTTAAAGCGTTTTAATTGTCGCAATTCGCGGTCAGTTCTAAAAGCGCCGATATGCACGCGGGGCAATTTTTCTATTCTTGTAGTCGGACTCCAATTCCGAGCGTTAAACTATAATTTCCGTTTCTGTGCATTATCACCCTGGTACTCCTCATCATAGAGGATGTCTACGTACTAATAAATTATGTCAGCTTCGTTGAGGCTCTATTTACCACACTCTCCGTGTCTGGTCTGTTGTGGCTACGTTACAAAAAGCCCAATCTCCATCGTCCGATAAAGGTACGTGCGATTTTGCGACGTGTGATTTTTAAAAAATATCCTTGAAAAGATCCATCTTTCAGCTTTTCTATTTGATTGCAAGTGAAGTCTCATTTCGCATATTTTATCTTCCAGGTTTCCATAATTTTGCCAATCATCTTCTTCATAATCTGCGCATTCTTGGTCACCTTCCCGTTTTACGTCTCACCATGGGAAGTAGGCGTAGGTATCATCATAATTCTGTCTGGCATTCCCGTGTACTGTATATTCATCGATTGGAAAACGAAGCCCGCCTGGCTCATCAATGCATCCCGTAAGTTATATTGTAAGCTTTATGGAAGCTTGTTAAAACGTGCTGCACGTAGTCATTCAATGTTTGTACTGTTATTACATATTTTATGTATTATATATCTATATGCTGCATACTATACGTATATTTATATGTCATTATGATATTTTCTGTGCAGATAATTTTAATTTGATGTGCGCGAAGCTATTCATGTGCGTGGAAGAAGACAAGACGGAATGAGTGCCCGAGACTAGTACTAATCATTGAAAAATTCCAAACTGTGACCCGAATTTAAGAGTGCATTCCGCACGCGTCGTACTTTTTCTTAGGTAGGTAGAATACCTAATATATAGTTGCGAATACAGATATAATGTCCATCATTGTCATCTATTGAACAACCGCATGATTGCATAAGTATTAATGGTAATGCGCGAGCAAACACGGTACTGTCGTCGATAGATTCATAATTTTTATATTCTATATATACATATATAGATATACTTGCGGAAGTAATTTTTATACACACATATATATATATATATACATATATATATATTTGTGATTATTTATTGTTTAATAAGTGCCTGTACGCCATTGCTGTAATCTATTAGCACGTAAATTGTATTCGAGTGCCAATTTTTGACACTGCCCGGCGTACTCGAAATGTATGCTTCAAAAAGATATTTAAGATAAATATTTTTTGATTATGTAATCCGTACATATGTTTATGCCGCATTTTCATTGGCCACGTTGGATTATACAGGCATAATATAAAATAAGAGTTTTTACATTAAGGCATAATATAAAGAGAATCTAGCAAAATTATTAAATAACGTCAGCAGAACCGATATATAATTTCGAGTTGAATTTTTTAAGGACTTTAGGTCAATTGTAGCGTTTAATTTATTTGCATTTATTTAAGGACTGTCATTATTGCACATATCTAATCATTCAAATTCAGTGAAATGATGACTACTGATTTCGAGTCTCGAATTGTAAATATAATGGAATAATGTAAAGCTTGTACACATTGCACGTAAATATAGTCTCGTAATTGAAAGAGATATATTTACAAGAGATATATAAAGGATTCTGCTTTAATTATTAATTGTATGTACAACATTATATAATTTTGACAATCATTGATTAATTAGTTAATTTAAATTTCTTTCCCTAAGAAATTTGAGGTTTCAAGCGAAAAAAAGAGAACCTAAAAGAAAGTAGATTCTTTCGTACTTTCAATTATTTAAGAAATATATGTAGTAGAGCTTCTGTTTTAAATTAAATATCATGAATGAAACGATTTTAAAAAGGTCATGAAGGAAAGCGTTAAAAGAAAAACGGAATGTTTAGCTGTCTGAAGAATTTTATCGCCTCTCGAAACGTATGTACGAATGATAATCATATTTTCAAATATGGATTGTGAATGCTAATCTAGTATCGTTGCCTAAATGATATTTGTATTCTAATCAGATGCTCAAGTATCGATAGGGAATTATTTGGAACAAATTGCATTCGAGAATGATCGATTATGTGCCTTATACGTGAGCAAGATTATATATTCTGTAAGGTAAAATAGGATATTGTTTAAAATGCATAATGATTAAGTTGTATGTACACGGAAAAAAAATGATGTATTAACAGCATTAGCCAACAGCAGTAATTTCGAAAATATTCTTGTTCATACAATAACAGTATTAAATAACATTTAATTTTAATTTTAAACAAATAGCAGTTAAAAAACATTTTATTAGTACAAGAACATATTTGCTTTACTGTGTTGATATTGTCATTGAATTAACAAGATTTTCAATTAGATCGGCTAATACTGGTAAAACAACATAAATGTTTTTCTGTATATTAAAGGCAAATTGTGAATAAGAACAGATACGTATGTATATTTTAAAGGAATTTAGAGACAAATAACAAATCTTTGAATAGCAACTTTATTCCAACAGATTTGATAAAACGGCGTTGTAAATCGCTTTTAAGTATAACTTGCAATTAGTTTATAAGCTGTTAACGGAGATAGGAAAGATTAGCACACATCTCGTGCTGTACACATTTTTTTGTTCGTACATTCCTAAATTTCTAGAACGTAGAATGTGTTGTGTGGTGGAAAAAAGACACAGTATACATATGCCTGCCGTCAAACTACTGTTACTACGGCAAATAGGCCAAAAGTACTGTTAATATGCGCCGAAATAGCAACGGTTTCTCATGTTTAATTCCATCATTTGTAAATACTTTATTTATATTTAATTTTTAATCCTTCATCGCCAATCCTTACTTTTGAAAATCTTGTACAGACATTACTTTTCTCGGCGCCATATTAAAGTCAACCATTTGGAACAATTAATTGGGTCTCTTATTAATCTAGATACGCTTCGTGATACGTTCATTCATGATGAGCTGTAGCGTCTACAGTCGCGCGAACCTTCGCGATAAAATGTCAATTTGAAGTTTTGCTTAGTTTTGCAAAGTGACGTTAATACTTTGAACTTGTATTTATTTTTGGCACATATACAAGTACATGTATCCAACATAACGACTGTATGTACAAACACTCCTGCGAATAGTCGATCGAGAAACGTATAAAAAATCGTTTATACATAATAGATAGTTGTGTCTTAAAAAAGAAATAAACTATCGTAGAAGCTCATAATCAAGAGTTTTGTTTCCGCGGAAGAATTTGGACGCAAATATTCTTTTTAAAATATTAACATAAAGTAAAACTTTATAAAGCATAGAAATAAGTCGTATTTGATTACATATTTTCGTTGTTCATATTTACATGTTCCATCGATTTTTCGATTATTTAACAGTAACAGTTCAGTACGCGTTATTGAGCAATCTCTTTTCTTCATTTACTTATTGAAATTAATAAAACAAAATATTCTGTTATGAGCTTCCGATATTTAACGGATAAATCCTGCAAACTTTTGCCGATTCGAAAAACACGAATAACATTGCAACGATTCCATAGTTATCTTAGTAATTAATTTGGCGTAATAATATAGATGTAAAGACTTGTAAGAAAATTTCGAGATCTTTAAAAAGCGTCCCTTTGACATGCAGTAAGTTTTTTAAAAATTAATCAGTCTTTGGCATAAACACAATCAAAATTAGTACTTTTGTACCCAATATTTGTTTTTTCTCGCACTATAAAAGGAACGAGTTAAGTGAAAAATGAGAAATTTTTGTTTAAAGATCTTGAAACTTTCTTTTTCTTTAAATTCCTACGTATTTTTTTTACAAAAATTGAAAAATGACTAAAAAAATCGCCACACGGCCTGTTCACCTGACAAGCTCGGTGCTCTTCCTGATTCTGCTTGTGCACTCTTCTTGCTGCAATTAGGCAACAGAATTTTGGTAAACACTTTGGTTTTCCTAACGCAACAAAGAAATCATCATCGGCGCCTCGTCGGGAAAATCGGAAAAAATCACGTCGGTTCGTGCGCCTCTTCTCAAGCAGGAAACGCAGATCTCTTCCGGCTTTCTACGATGAAATATTCTGCAATTCAGCCTTCAGCGAGCGGCGGTGTCACCCAGCCGTATTTCTCATGCGTCCTCACCAGATTCTTGAACGTCTCCTCGGCCAATTGTCGATTGTACTCTTTGTTTGGCTTTGGCACCCTCGCCACTTGTGCCTGTTGAGATAAAAACTTGACATAAATCTGAGAAATCAGTAAGTATGAACACATTAGTGACCAATTTTTTTGTAAATTTTATGTCTTTACTTTCTTTAATCACGAACGATAATATAAAATTGAATTTCTTAAATTTGATAAAAAGAAGACACATTTCTCGTGTTTTTTAGCTTGTAAAATGTGATTGTCATATCTATGATACTGTATTACAATAATATGACATATGTTATATGATATCATATATATCATACGATCACATCATCATATCATGGTCATATAATGTATTTTCATAATACATTCTGAAGGAATTAATTACTTGGCGCAGATCAAAACTACACTCACCTGTCCCTTTACAACGCTGGCCGCGAACTGCATGATCATCGACTCTACGCTGTACGCACAGCACCATCCTCTCGGCGTGAGGAGTTCCATGCAAATAGCACCGCCGTGCATCACGAAGCCCTGATCGATCCTCGGCGAGATTACCCTCATAAAGGGCGGCGCAAACGGGAATTCCTTCGGAAAGATCACGTGCAGCAATATGTGAGGTATCTTCAGCTCGCGCATGTCGGCCGCCAGCTTGCTGTCCGGGTCGATTTTGTGCAATCGAACGAACCACTCGAAAACATTATCATTGACGAGCTCCACGGTGAAGGCAGAGTCGCCGCGCTGTGCTCTTTGGATCCTGTTGAACTCCTTCATTAGTCGACGCAGACCGATGTCCTTGTCGCAGGCGACTTTGCACTCGTTGTTGTCCTGCACAAGTAAAGCCTGATTTGAAATTCTCAGGTTATCTCAAGATATACAAAGTCTGATTACAAAATTAAATATAGAAGCTATTCTATCACGCTTATTCATCGAAAAAAAGCCAGTGATTACATCTCCTCCTTGTGATCTTTTCGTTATTCGAGAACTCCACGCACCTTTGGCGACTTTTTCGCCTTGAAGAAACAACTCCGATCGGCATGATGAGTGGAGTCTGGATTTTCCAGTATCGGTCCATCCACTGGAGTGACGGCATCTGGACGGTGGTGGCGATTTAGGAGTCTCCTCGATGGCGAATTGGTCGAACTGCTGGCTCCCTCCGGTTCGGCTATTTTATCGGAAGACCGGAAGAGTTTCCGGATGGCGGCCACCACTTTCTCCTTGGATTTCGTGGACATGGTGAAAGTACCGTGCCGCTACTTTACGAGGTCTCGCTACTCTGCGTTCAAAATATTTTTATTTGTGAGAGACATTTCCAAGACTACATCAGGATGAAATTATAATGGTCTAATTATTGATTTTCTTAGATAATTCAAGGAAAAGGAATTTAAAAAATTCATATACTGCAAAAAAAAAATCAAATCGTAGAAAAAATTATCAATAAAAATGTAAAAGTGCATTTGAGTTACAATCAATGCAAAAAATTTAGTTTTTTTAGAATAACTGATTGGATTGATTGAGTTTATTAATGAGATATACAAAATAACTCTCATAGTGATTGTTTCAATTCGACATTAGTTATATCAATTCTGGAATTCGTCTCAATTAATTCAAATCAAATACAGAAGCTGCCATAACATTGTCATTCAGAATATACATATTTTCAGAAAGTGATATACTTTGCCTAAATATATTACATCTTAAAGATATCTTGCGAACTTTCGATGACAAATTATCCTATTAGATTTTTAATTTTTCGAAATAGGAAGGTGTTTTTGAAAAGTGTTCATAAAATGTCTTTGAGTTTTCAAGTGTTTATAAAATATTAAATTATCTCTGGCTGATTTTTCGGCAACTGATCGAGAAATTTCTATCTACTGATTAACTCTTATTAATTAATCTTCCTTAAGTTATCAAATTATCTATTTTCACCAGAAAACCCGTCGACGACGTCAGAATTCATTTTTAAGTCGTGCGAGGGTGTGGAGTATCGGTCTTCCTACAGAATGGCTACTCGAAACAAGCCGGGTACTATTTATTTACCGACTTATTAATCTATTATCAGACTCACCCATTCTATCAGCGGTTCTGCATCGCTTACGGCTGACAGATTGTCAACGTGCGGCTGTTGTGTACTACACGAGTACACGCGAAAACGATGAAGATGCAATCGCCGAACATGGCGCAGTCTCCACCCTCGTTGAACCACCAATCGACGTCAGCCACGGGAACGAGTGAAGGGATAGACGTCAACCGATGCCGGCGCTACCGTCGTGAATGGCAGTCAGCTCCTTTTTATCGATCCAATTTGCATGACCGATAGCGCGCGGCCGATAGCGCGGACTGCGCACAAACGGCAAACGCTATTTTTTTTCTCCGAAAATTTCTTTCGCATTTGATAAATTTTATCGGGATTTAACGATATTTATGAATATTTTCTGACGTTTATATTAAAATTTCAAGATCCAATTGTTTTTCGGTAAATGATGACTGTTCTTCAAATTTATGCCGAAAGAACATCTGCAAATTCGTCGAAAAATACATTATTAAAATTGAATGCAATGGGAACGGAAGACCATAACGTAACGAGAGAAATAAAGGCAAAATCTATGGTCAATTTATACGCGCAAGATGTAGGTCTTATTTACCGGATAGGTTTGTTTTTCTTTTTCGTTTATTTTTACGTATTCGCCCACGGCCTTACAATATACGTGTTCAGGTATCTATTGGTAAATACAAACACCAGGATATGTTTAGCCACGTATGCGAACACGAGCAGGCACGACAGGTATTGGATCCACACCCATTTCAATTCCTCCCAGAAGCCCGGCTGATAGTAAATAAAATTCTCCACGTAGAACAATTCGCCGATGACGACCACCGCTTCGTCGCTGGAGAAGCCTGTTCTCCACGTTACTCGCTCGTTCGTAATTCTGGCAGAGACTGTAAAGCAAACATGCCGTTTATTGAGAATTTCTCTACGTGTTTACGTCAAATTATTTGAAAAAATTTTTTCGACAATTTATAAGTGCACGTACACTTTCGGTTAAAACTGCGCAACAGCAGTTCGGGTAAAGAGTAATCGGACAGCTCTATACTGTGATTGTACGTCTCGTAGAGACCCTTGCTGCGCAAAAGTCCTTTCTGTCGTAGCTCCAGATCGCCGAAGAATCGTATCTCTTGAACCTCGTGGTTTAATATTTGATCAAACACACCGATAGATTCTATCGCCACTTGGATAAGATGCTACAAAATAAAGAAAAAATTCATTTTTTTTTTTTTTTCGAAGAGCAAACTTGTGAACGGCGCGAATTTACCTTTAATTGAAAATTGAAGAACAGCAAAAGTCGTAGAGATTTCACTGGTTTATCCGTGTAAAATTGCGCTTCAAATCTTAGGGAATCCTTTTGCCCATCGTTGTTTAGATCGTTCTCTTGTACCTAAATAAAAAAGTGTAAATGTATAAAAATATTTATATAAATAAATATTAATACTAGTAATATTTGAATAAATAGGAATTATATAAAGTTGCATATACAAGCATCTTTGTATTAGAAACAGAAAACAAGTTGGAATCAGAGTTTAACATTAATTATAAGACGTGACAAGAGACCGAATAAAAAATATTGATAATAAGTAATTCGCTAAAAATCAAATTTTCGTATATTTATGGCATCGTTAACTTTCTTGTTCTAGTAATAAAGAAACAACCTTGATTAGTGTACACTGGTCTTCGATATCGTTCTCCTTGTATGTTGTGAAAGTAGAACACACGATGGGCTCCTCAAAGGAATCAACCTCCGCGAGTAATAAATATTTGTATATGAAGTGCACATCAGGCGTTTCCGCGTGCATCCGATTTTTCATCCAGATACCTGAAATTTAAAAATATTAAATATAAAGTAAACGTAATAAAAACGTAAATCACACACACGTGTATCGAAAGTCTGTAATACTTGTGAAAATTGGGTCGATTCCTACCTCCCGCATTGTAGATTATAAAAAGTGGCGTGATTAAGGATAACACAATGAACAGGAAAACAACAATTGATGCGCAGGAATGTATTCTACTCTTGTACTTGTAAGTGACGGAGCTTGAAAATATCTCGATCGCTGCCATTGTGATATTACGGTCGTCGCCGCGGCAACGTCCACAGGTGCGAAAACGTATAGACACAGGTGGACGCAGCTGTCGTTGCATATGGGAATATATCCTCATCTGTGCGTTTTCCCTTCCAGAGAAGGACATGGCTTGGGACAAAAGTATTCCGTTGTAAAATATCTCTTTGTACTTTTAAATCGATCGCATTTTAACATTGTATCATTATTATAATTAAGGTTATGATTGTTATTATTGAGGATGATAAAAGTGTTTTAGCTAATAAAATTAGAGTTTGAAAGAATTTACGAAATTTACAAAGTTAGAGGGATTATTGAAGTACTTGAAATTATTAGATGTCAAAAAAAAAATATATATATATATAATATTTCTAATAGTAATAAATTAAAAGAAAACGAATTATAACTTTTACTGCGAAAGTATCTACGCATCTTTTTGAAAAGTTTAATTGTGAATCACACCTCGGAATGTTCGAGAGTCGCGTTCGCACGCTGGCGTTTAATGGTGATTCGCCACCTGACCGCTGTGTTCTTTCCCAAGTCGCGATTTTTCACATTTTCCGTTGACTCTGAAGACTCATCCTCGACAGATTCTTCGATATACGACAACGATTTGCCATCCACTCCAAGATCGTCGATAATCGCATCCTTCGGTTTTGCGAGATCGAAGGTGCCCCTTCGCACTCGAAACGGTGATACTATGTATTTCTGGTTTCGTCCAGGGAGAAATTTATCCCGCTCTTTCCCGGAGGACGCGTCTCGCGCTGCCTCGTCTTTCTGCGCGTGCGACTTTCTTTCGTTTTCAAATCCAAAGAGAGGATTAGAAGATCCACGATGAATAGGACCGTCCCGAGTTGAAACATCGTCCTGGACAGTCGCGGAGGACGTTGTCCTGGAGGAAACATCGGTTCTCGTACTGGACGTCGCTTCAGAGATATTCTCCGCGAACAATCGTCTGCTCCGTGAAACATTCAAAGGATTCTTGCACGGATATTCGGATTCCTTCCAATTTAAGTACTTGAATTTACTCGGAATCCCCTCTCGCCAGACCGAAGACTTTGCTCGACAACCCAGACTGAAAATATAATATTAATAAATATTCAAATATGTCTTAAATAAGTCAATTATTTTGGAGTTATTTTTTTCGTTACCAAAATTATCATCAATTAGAACTATATTTGCAATAATTAATCTAAATTATTTTCAATCTTATCGCAATGAATTACATGGTTCATTAACAAGCTGAATATATGATTCTTTTATATAAATGTAACTGTGCAAATTAAGTTCAAATCAAACATCAATGTCTTGGTAAAAAAAATTCTCATAACATTTTGAATTTTAATTAAGATGTATTAAAAAATATCTTAAACTTCTTTTAAGTTATATGTTATTTAATATGTTATTGTATGATTTTATAATTTTATAAGTTTTCTTTTACTTTCAAAATTATAGAAATTATAGAATAAAAAAATTTTTTCAAACTCTCAAAATTTACATATATAAAGAATTTTAGAAAAGATGTAAATTTAATTTTCTCAGTACTTCTTAAGTGTTCCAGTTCGTATAAAAAAAAAATCGTCTAAAAAATTTTCTAAAAAGTTATAAAATTTCAAATTTATCGTCCGAACTTTTCTAAAATTTTACAGAAATTCTAAAAAAATTTATATAGAGGTTATTTTTCTAAGAAAAATCTTGGGACAAGTGTTACGTTAGGAGTGTTATTTTACATGCTACGAAACATTATGCTATTAATCCTGCAACAGGATTACTGATTTAAAAGATTATGGATTGTCAAACAAAACAATAATCCCTCCGACATATTCAAAATATTCAAAATACAATTATCTCCATGAGTGAACTTGCCTTTCGCCGACCGAGTCTCGACGTTCATCTCCGAAACGTAGGGCCTCGTTCGTCGTAATTCTCGTCGATGCTTCTCGCGTGGCGTTCGCGACACTAGCACGAGCGTTCCCGTCGAGCGCGGACGAGGACGTCGATCGCGAGGCGTTATCCGCGAGATCGGCCGGGATCGCGAAGAGCGCGAGCGGCACGCGTCTCACGACGAGCTTCTCGACAACGTAGTCGCACTCGTCGGGATCGCACTCGACGGTCCCTTCCGCCGCGTACGGCTGGCTCTTTAGACAACAGAACAGCGCCTTCAGCCGTCTCGCCGCTCCGCCCGATTTGCCACGGCGAACCCTCCGTTCTTCCTCCTCCTCGTTGTCGACGGTGCTGGAGTCCGGCGCGGAGTCATCGGACATTTTCAAACCTTTTGAAATACGTGCGCGTTACGAGCTTCCGCGGAAAGCGCCAAGTTTATTCGGGAGTGGCTTCACATATTGCCTCGTGCGCGCGAACGCCAAAAAATTTGGCAACGAGCCGCGATTCGCCTCTATTTTATTTATCGATACGTCACATTCCATTCTCGGATTTCTCGGCATCTGCGAGTCGTCGCTCCTCCGTTGATGCCTCGATTGAATTGCCTCGATCGTTTTTTGCGATAGAAGAACTTAAGAAGAGTTTCGTCAGAGAGAAGCTTCTCTCTGGTTTCTTCGTTGAACTGGCGCGAAAACGGCGGCGCGGAGAGAGATAGCAGCGACCGCAGCGAGAGACAGACGCAGCAATGGGAAACATCTGGACCAATAAAATCCTCGGAAAAAATTCCGTGCGAACGTAATCGCGTATCCGATTGGTCAAAACGTTCACGTTTCGTTTGATCCCGGCGGGTTTGTTCTTTTCAGCTGAGTTTCTTATTTCTTTTCATCTTTCCTCTTCTTTGCCCTCGATATTTGCATGCTTTAATTCATCTTGAATGCAATGCGACGCAGTTGGAGACCGAAAGCCCGTTCCGACGTGTCCTTTCGACCACAGTCCGCGCTCGTAGTTATCGGCGCGCCCGCCTCTCGATCCGCCTCGAGTTGTCCAAACTGGGAACGATACGACGTCCATGCGAGCCCGGCGAGAGCCGACACGACGTCGCCTGCGTCGCCATCGTCACGTTTCGACTAGCCTCGGACCGGACCCTCGGAAGCTCGCGATCCGCCTCGATCTCCGCCGCCGTGTGATCTCCGGTCGCAAGATTGCGGCATGTGACGTGCCATCGGCGTCCTGCAGCGATTGTTGACGTTACCAGTTTCGCCTGATCGCGGTCGCCCGGACGAATTCGACGAGCGAACGAGCAGAGGGGCCCCTCTCTTCGAGTCGAGGTGAGCCGCGTGGCCAACGTGCCTCCTCCGTCCGGCGGCAGTCCGGCCGCCGATGCCGACTCCCCTTGTCTCTCGTCTCGACGAGGGGGATAGCAATGGCTGCAGCGCGAGTGTGACGCCCGGAGACTGTCGCGTGTTTTTACGTTTTACGTCGCGAGGCGAGAAGGTCCCGTCGGTCTCGTCCTCTCGTCGAACCGGTGCGGCCTCGAGAAACGTCGCCGTTCGTAAAATTCGCCTTTGGTGAGAGCACTTTTTGTAAACGGTTCTTCTAATCGCCGGTCACGGGCTTATCGCTCGCGTTTCGCGGTAAATATTGAAGCGAAGAGATAGCGAGAAGATAAATAGAAAACCCACTTTATCGCCTGGCCGCGCGAGGCCGAGCATGTAGGGAGCCAAACGCGTGAATCTTCGACTTGTCTCAAGTACGATTTTTATGTACGTTGTAAAACTGATCTTGCGGAATGGCGCGAAGTTTATCACCTTGCACCGAGCCTCCAGAATTTTTTGTTGACACGCAACGAATGTAGCGCGTGTATATTTGTGTCGTGCAGGAGATTCGAAGCAAGCCATGGAATCTGAATCCAGGCGCAAGGGCCCGAGGAGCCCGAGCGCCGATTCGGACGACTCCTCGCACGCCAGAAGAAGAAGGAAGTACGATCGGTCGCCGTCTCCGAGACGAAACCGTTACCGCAGGTCTCGCTCCAGGGACAGAAGATCCCGTTCGAGTTCCAGAGACAGACGACGGAAGGACTCCAGATCGCAAGACTGGAAGCCACAAGCTCCGCCGTCCCAAACCCAAAGTTCTGTGCCCAATCCAAACAATTCTACCGGCTATGTTTCGGCGGTGCATAATCAATATCAGGTATAAATAGCTTTGTAAATTTCATTTGTGAATGAGATAGAAAATGTCTTATTAAGTGTCGGTACACAATGTGAATTTAAGCCTTACAACGTTTAGTCGATTATTCTTCTCATATTCGACTACGATTGGTATCTCTTAACTGCTTAAGGCTTAAAATCCTTATTGTCGACCGACACTAAAGGTCGACAAAAGAGACTATCGAGATATCTGTCACGGATGAATTTTTAATCTATCAAATTACAGTTAACATATTGAGAAAATCGCAATATTAATTGGGTTTTGTAATCAGGAAAATTATCTATCTTTTCAAAAAATTTTTTGGCAAAAAAAAAAAAGATAAAATTGTTCTAATATCTCACTCAATCTTTACTACAATAGACTTTCACCTTGCTTGAAATCCTCAAAAATTCTTGTACTTAAAACGAGATAAATATATATTCGGGCGTTGACGAGAGAGAAAGCGAAGATTCTGAGTGCAACAAGTGCAAGTAACACGCAAACAGATCTGAAGTTTTGTGTTCATGATACTAGAAATCAGTTCAAGTTTTTAGACCGAAATCTGTGTAGCTAATCAACTTGCAGCTTTTACTTTGCAGTGGAAAAACAGCAATTTTATATTTATATACAGTTCTTGGTTCGAGAACTTGGATATCTAGTGGACACAAGGCTTAATGTAGCTGAGGTGCAGATAATCTTATGTTTTAAGGACTAAATTGCAAAATCTGGATTTTTTTTTAGCAGATTTCACAACTTTATCGAAAAGCCAGCTTTGTAAACATAAACCAAAAAAGTCTCGTGGCAAAATACAGGTTGAAACAAAATATGGGTGAACCAAATTATATCTGGGAGTAAGGAACAGATAATATAATTTACTGCAAATAAATATATTTTTTTAATGTTTAAAAATATTTTATATAAAAACATTAAAAATATTTTAAAGAGCAAAATTGCAAAATTCGATTTTTTTAGCAACTTTTGTATTTTTGTAAGAAATAAACTAAAGTCTCATGACAAAATATTTCTTTTATGAGACAAAATGTGGTAGAGCACAGATATGTATCTGCACCGTGAATAAGATGCAGATAATAAATTCAAAGTTGGCTCACCACTCCTTCTGATCCTTAATTATATCGATTGACTTTGTTGTAACATTTTGTAATATTGTTTTTTGTTTCGTCTGCATAGGCACCGCCACCGAACACGAGTCAGCCGCCGCCACCCATCTCTGCCTACAACCAGGGATATAACAATTATGGTTACAACTACGGGCCGGGCTATGACTACAGTTATCAACAACCTGCCGGCTATCGAAGTGTAAGTTGTATTTAGAAAAAAAAAGTTTAATACACTCTTAACTCTACTTAGAAGAAAGATTGACTCTAGTCAATTTCGAAACAATATAGTTGGAAAAACAATGCATATTCTAATGCTGGAGCACGTAATCTCGTGGTCTCTTAAAAACTATTGCGCGCTTTTTCAAAGTATTTCAGAAATAGTTGTTACCGCTACGTTACCGATTATCATTTATATTCGGTAGCGTACCTGTCTTCCGCTCTCTTTCTCTCTTTCTTGGAGCGTTACAATTATTATTTCTTCTCTGTATTGCAATATTGTGAATCTCTCAGTAAGTATAATATTCGCGTTATGTATTTTACTGGCACTGATATTGGAAACCCATAATATTGACCACACCGTTACATCGTCAAGACTTCCATGTATTAGCCAAAGTCCTCATTTGAGTATCGTCTGATAAAGGTAAGGGTCGTTAAGAATGCCGTTGAACGACTTGAGATTGATTGGACGTATTAATTCTGTTAGGATTACCCACCACCCAACTGGCAAGGAAGTCAAGTGTCATATAACAACCAGCAAGCACCGCCGCCTCCTTCGTTGACACCGCAACAAGAAACGTCGAGGCCGATTGACAGCGGTTCTTCTGGCTTAGTGACATCCTTAACGAGACCCGAAGATGTCAAAAAAGAAGGTATGCAATTCTCTTTGTTGTATATCCAAAATTGACGTTAATATTTATTTAATTAACGTAGTTTCTGTACTTATTCAATAAATAAGTGAATCGATATTTATACAATCTTTAAATTCTTTAAATTGAATGTTTAACAGCAATCGCAGCTGAGGTGAAACAGCAGAAAGCGACACTCGGCAAACAACGAGAGGAATATGTTAAGAAATCTGCCACGTTGCAACGCGAACTGGAAATTCTGCGTCAGCAATGTGACGAGATAGGCAAGGACGGTGGCCGTGAAAATAATCGAATTTTAAAGGAAAATCAAAAATTGCAGGTAACTGACACGTGATTTTATCGGTATATTTCTTCGTGATTGACATTCATTTGAATTTTATTTTATTTGTATATGCGTTTACAGATTGAAATACAAAATAAAATGAAGTCTATTCACAACGTCATCGATATGCTCACTGGTATAATTGGTGACAAGGCTACCGTGGATGATCTGAAGAGCAAGTTTAAGCTAGATATAAACAAACATTCGAGAAGTCCTAAGGAAGACTTCCCGAAAGGGAAGTCTCCTTCGCCCGACAGATCGTCCGCCTCCGATTCGGATAAGGAATCCAAAGCAGAAAGAGATATTAGGGAGAGAAAGTCATCGGAGGATAAGCCAATGTACAATTTCGTTCACTACGACCCTGAAATGCATTGGTGTAAAGTCTGCGATATCTTTCCTAAAACAGCAAAGGAATATTTAAATCATCTACATAGCAATGAACACAGAGAGGCTTGTTTAGTAAGTAATATTTTCGAGCAATACAATCGTCATAAAGCAGAGGCAGATGCGGAAGTAATTAAATGTTAGAGAAAATAGATTTAGATATTTTCAAACAAAATAATACAAAATTAATAAATTTAATATGGACTACGAGCCTGAGCTAGGTATTTAATGCTCAAATAATAAGTCAATTTACATAAAATCTATGATCAAAAACAACGTTTATTGTTTTTGATCACAGATTTTAAATTAAATTTATAGTAAATTGACTTATCATTTGAGCATTAAATATCTAGCTCAGGCTCGTAGCCCATATTTAATTTATTAATTTCGTTATTTTATTGAGTCTTCTTTAACTTATTAAAATAATACAAATTGTTAGTTACCGTAGAGAATAGGTAGAAGAAAAAATATATACATATATATTGCTTTGCATAATAAAAAAAAGACAAATGGATTTATAATTAAGACTATATATGTATTCGTAGTACAAACTATATTTATAACTGGATGATATATTGCACAGTAACGATCACGACAAGCAGGTACTTGGTACATAATGTAATCTTTTTGATGCATCATATGTCAATGTTTATTGAAGAGGAAAAAAAAAAGAGTACCGAGTTTCTTGCGCCCAATTTAAAAATCCATTTTTACTAATATTCTATTTTATATGATAGGAACGCAAGATTGTTGACATGCCATGGCATGAGCGAAATGGCGAAGGAACAGAAAAAGAAGTACCCTATTATCATGGACTACCGACGAAAAGAACGCCTATTAAAGGTAAGGTCAATTACAGTGGGCAATTACTAATAGAATATAATTCCGTAGCTTGTGCACAGATAACTGTGGTGTTCGGTATGTATTGAAGAGAATCAACAATCACGAGTTGCTTGAAAATTTGTCCTAAATAAGTCGGAACGTTCGCACGATACGCGACGTTAGACGTTCGGTTGGAAAGTCGGTTAAAGCCAGTAACTTTTAATTTGTGTCACGATACATTGGAATTGGAAATGCATGACAAGTATAGTATATCGCGTAAGTCAGAACGGATCCTTGGCGGATACAAATTTTCTAGCAATGTTGCAAACACCACAGAGATGCATTGGATTTTATCTGGATTCAAGAAGCGCACTTTCCGAGCCGACTTTCTGGCAATATCACTTTATCGTGATCACGTGTCTAATTTCATTTTCCACAATACTACGTTTTACACAAATTTAGGGTGATCGGCTATCTTCTGAAGATCTCTAGATCTATTAAGATCTTATCATCGTGGAGTGCATTACTTGGCAGAAAGTAATGACGTATAAAATAATGTATATAAAGCATTTTGTGTTGTTGCTTATAACTGAGATATATATCTATATATACACATATATACACATATGTGTAAGTTTTGGTGAAGTTACGCGAAGAAAGTTACCACTATATATGATTTATATTGGAAATGTGTATTATATTTTCAATATTATTAATTTATTTAAAAGAAATATTGTATTAACTGTTTGTAAAATATACTGCAAATGCCCATTCGTATAAACTTGAGTATATAATTATTACGAGTCATATTCAATAGAAATATGTTACAAGTCATATTCAATAGAAAAGCCTTAAATCTTGGAAGTAACTAAAAGTAAGCAGTTGCAATATATTCATATAAAAATATAATGTATTTTTATTTATCTGTATATATACATATATATTTATATGAACATTATTATTTGTATCGTGTATAGATAACAATTCTGAGAAATAAAATTAATTCTTTTTTTCCTTTTCCTCCCTTTCTGCTCTTCTACAGATCATCGTGGGAACACACAAGGAAATTTAATATCATCGGTCATTTATATCGAACATCTTTTAATATATAATTTTTGTTTTCAGTGACATGAATGTAATCGTGGCAGAATATAAGGTCATTTTTTATGAACTTATAATGCTTACCCGCTTCGAAGCTTAAATAATGCTAACTGCAGGTTTGTTTGATTATAGGGCTGCAGTTCTTCAGCGCAGCAACGGCCTGGTATTGCAAACTTTGCGATTCCTGGATAGGAGATCTTCACTGTGCTAGTCTGCATCTGAAGTCTAAACGTCATTCCGAGAATTTTTCCGTAAGTATTTTTCCATATGGGTAATACTTAATGCATAATGCAATAATTAAATTAGAGCAAAAGATTTATGTTGCAAAATAAAACAGAATTATAATTATTGTGTAATTTTTATGAAAATAGTTATTTAAAATAACTTAAAATAAACTAGTAAAAAAATAACTTGCATTTTTTTTTCTTCAAAAATTACATATGCTATAAATAATTTAATTGAATGTGTTGTTTAGCGCTTTGTGGAGCAAAATCCGCATTGGGAAACCGACTGGATGGCCGACAGAGAAAAGGCGTTCTCCGAGGAGAAACACAAGCAGATACAGTTGGAATTGCAGAAACAGAAGGATGACGATCCCCCGACAAAATCGAAGAAGTCGAAGAAAAATAAGAAAAAATCGAAGAAAGCCAAGAAACGCAGAAATAGAAGCAGCGCTAGTGATTCGTCGAGTGAGTCGGATAATACCGATACAGAATCCGATCAGGATACCACCAAGAGCATACGTGTGGCAATGCGAAACAAGATGAAAGCGTCCACGCAGGCAATTCTGAACGAGGAGATAGATTATCAGCGTATAAAATTGAAAGGACATAATTGGTCGAAGGCACCGCCGCAGATGAACCAATCGCCGCTGCCCGAGCAACATCCGTCGGAGACGGATGACAGACAACTTCTGAATTCGATCAGGGACAAATTGAAAGCCAAACAGGAGGAGGAGATGAAAAGTCGCAAGATGGGTCAAGAAAAGGATGAGGAGGAAAAGGACTTGCAGCAAGACACTTATTCAAAGAAATCAGAGGACTTGGAGGCTTGGGGCCCGAAAGAGCCGCCCAAGCCTTTCTGGATAAAGAAGGAGGAGGAGAAGCAATCGCAACCGATCGTGACAAACAAACCGATCGAGTTGCCGAAACCAGAAGAGATGCCGAAGCCGCACATGGGATTCTGGACTAAACAGCAAGTGAACATGACGGTGAAGCCGCCCGAAAGTAAATCAGTGGAGAAAGAGGAGGAAAGGGACCGAGATAGAGATCGTTACAAGGATGATCGTGATCGCAAGTATAGCAGATACGAGAGGAGAAGTCGGCGCGACAGGGATCGGGATAGGGATAGAGACAGAGATAGAGATAGGGACAGGGATAGGGACCGTGATTACTATGACGATCGTCGAAAGAGAGACAGGGACAGAGACAGTAACGATTCTCCGAGACGTGATAGAAATTGGCGTGACAGCAGTCCCAAGAGAGGCTATGACAAGTACAGTAAAGGGCGGGGAGATAACGACAATTCGTCGAACGACGAATCCAAATTTGACAAGAAGTCAAGCGAGTCGAAGTCGAAGAAAGGTCTTGCCGCCCCGAGCAAGAAATCCGCGCCGCAAGTGGCGGCCAAGGGCAAGTTACCGTTCATCGGAAGATTACCTCTGTTCAAGAAGAAGGCCGAAGAGCCGAAGTTACCAGAAAAGGATATCGCTCCGCTACCCTATCAACAAAGCAAGTTTGAGGACACGCCGAAGGTACCCAATGAAATCATCAATCCACCCGGTGTTGTTCACATCACCAAACTAGCTACCCCATTGAATTTGAATAATAGCAGCACTGCAACTACTCCGCTTGCAAGCAAATCCACCAATCAGCCTATGAAGATTCTAGTGGCACCTCCGCCGCCCGTGCTGAACGAGAGCAAACCGACCCCGCAGGTGGTCGACATGGAGATAGACGATCAGTCCGAGGAAACGGTTATAGAGGAACAGCCGATAGTGCAGCCACAAAAGCAGCAGCAGCAGCAGCAGCAAACTTCGAAACTGCCGTTACTCCCGCATCCACCACCACCACTGAATAGACCACCACCCAGTTTTACTCCGAGCCAGCAACAGCAATCGGCAGTGCAGACTAGACCGCCACCTGTGCAAAGTGCACTACCGGCGCCGCCCTTCACGCCAAATCGACCACCTCCGCCGTTCATTTCGAATCCACCGCCGTTCGTACAGGCACCACCGAGATTCCCACCTCGTCAACCTGTCCCGCCAACTACCTTCATGGCGCAGCCGCCACCGATGCCCAACTCGAGCTTCGCGCAAAATCATCAGAATCCGCCGCCGCCGCCGATACCGACAGCAGCGGACTCGGGCGCTGTAGCGCCACCGCAATCCGACGTGACCGACATACCGGAACCGTCGGAGAAGCGTCCGGCGGACCCGAGTATTCCGCTGCCGGATGATCTCCAGGAGGCTCTCAACATAATCTTTCCTAAGGAGGAGACAGCTGAGACCAAGCAGCAACAGCAGCAGCAAAGCCAAGAGTCTAACATCATGTACTCTTCGATGTACAGTATGTTGGGTTGCGTAGGATACGGTCCTGAATACATGGATCAACCGCCACCCGAGATCATGCAAGAGGCGGAAGCGGACACACAACCCGGACCCGATGATCTTCGTATGTTAGGCATCGATGAGGGAGATACAATCTTGTAAATCACGCTCGCGATTTACAGGTTTATATCGATTGGTATCGGTGTTCCTCGTTACTGAGTAGCAGAATACAGGAAAAATTTTTACGCCGCGATAACAAAGATTGGATCCATTCACATTGTTACTGATTCATTCATTTATTTCGATGTCTAGATAGGTATTATTTTATCAGTGACTATCTCTCACATGTTTTGAAATCGATTATTATGGTGAAGAAAAGAAGGAAAACTGAAGCAATTACGATAAATATGAAATGTGAATATAAAGCCAGCGCCATGCGAATCGCGCGTAAGACTGGCACCAGCTTAAGCGATGTGTACGATCTGTAAAGATTACTTAACGGTTTACAGTAGAATCTACAAATTGTCCGCTAGATTATAATGTTTGTTAATATCGTAATTGTCTTCTTCGTTCGACAATATATTTTTGTCAATTTTGTTTTGGGATTCATGTTATATTATTGCACAATCGATATCACGTTCCAATATCAGCAACAGCAACGACGAATTAATGTATATGATAAGTTTTCTTCATCTATCTCTTTACAAAAGTTACAAAAAGCATTTGTTGAAAAATCGATAAATCTGAATGATTATGAAATGTTATGTCAATGCATAATTAAAAAGATAAGACGAGATAGGTGTGTAATATCAATAAAAAAAAAACGCAATCTCATTGTGTATCAACATTGATATTGTATATCTTCGATATTGCAAATCCGCAACTTTCAAGCTTACGTTGTATATGTACAATACACTTTCAAATGTAGAAGAAATGTTCGCGTCAATTTATATGTAAAGATAACAGACTTGAACGTTGGAATGTAAGATCGTAACGTTTGAGACATTTACATTGCGATATTTCCCGAGATTAAATAATTCTTTCTCTTTTTTTAAAGAACCACTCTTGTCTTTTCAATCTTTCTGCTTCTTTAAGTTTAATCTTACGATCGATTCCTAAAGATAATATCACATTGCCTCTATTTTTCAAAGTTAATATAACTAGAAATATCTTTCTATTGCGAAATTGTTGAAAACTATCGCTATTGAAATATAGGGTCACATGGCACTATTCAATTAATTCTTAAACATCCATTTTTTTTTACTTTTCGGTACTCAGGAAATTCACGATTTTCGATTTCGTTAATTGTGTTCTTGTAAAAACGCTTAATCTACCGCAGTAGTTGATTAGCTTACGTAATATAATATCGGAATGAACTCCTTTCGATTAAAATTAATTTACAAATGCGAGAATAACGACGCAATGTTCGCAAACATTAACTAGTACCAAATTACTATCGATATTCGATAATCGTAGATTAGGCAGAGCGTCACAATTCGATAAAACGCACTCGTGAGTGCACAAAAAAATTAAATCGTGCTTTATATTATAGTTTAGCGATGCGATAATTAGTCCTATGTGTCCAGTCTCTATTTTTCTTGCAGTCAAAATGGAATGTAAAAACCAATGTAGATTCTCTCACGTGCTACAAAAACATTTTTAAAGGCCTACTTTTCTGTTCGTCGTCTACGTATATGCAATGGATGGGAGATATACATATAATTCGATGATGCGAACACGCCGGTGTAGTAAAAACGATCCCGTCGTATCGATAAACCTTAGATCTGAAGTACTAGGCCTGCGCTGGAAATGTTGTCTCCACCACCTGCCGTCTGACTAGCTTGCGTGCAAACCAACACGGGAGCGACGCACACCTGAACAGAAATCTCGTCCTGCTCCACCTTCAATGTCTCGTCCCAGCAGGATACCGGTTTGTCGATGTTCAATGCTATTCGAGTACCGGCTACGCTAGACGTCGAGAAACTATCGTCCATGATCAGTGTCGCTTTTTTCACATCGACCTGCATTAAATGAAATCATTTTATTGGATTAAGCGTTCGTTCCGTTTTTTTTTCCTAAGAAATGGCATTAGTATAAATAAATAAAAAAAACAATGATTTTTTCTTTCCGTTTAACCGAATAAAATTATCGAATGTAAAACGATCTATTACATAGGACATAAATTAATAAATGCCATATATGTATGTCTATAATTTCTAACGTTCCATTTAAAAAAAAAAACGCGAATTTGAACCTATTAAATATTAGAAATGGTAAACGAAGAAATAGATTCGGTCTTGTAAATTTAACCCAGTCATGTTAGACGAAAAAATTGAGCAAAATCTCGAAAAAATATATACCTAAGTTGAATTTTGGCAAACCTTTATTTTTGCATATGATTGAAAAGGAAAAAGTTTACCATTGTATGTACAGTGACCGCTTAGAAATAATAATTAAACAAATAGGGTTTTAATTATGTTCTTTTGTAAATATCTCCAAATTTATGTCAATTCAGTAACTCGAATTAGCTGAATGAGAATTACTATTCTTACAACACAATTGTTAACACAAATTGTTAAAAAAAAAGTATATACTTTATACTTTGATCCCGAGAAAAAAATTTAAAAAAATTTTTTTTTAAGTCATAATTATTGATATTTTCAAATTGTCATTGTCAAAATTTTTAATGAAACGTAAGCTTGAAATTATAATTGCAAAAAATTGCGATAAGTTTTTTTTTTAAAAGCAATTGAAAGCTTGGAATGTCTAACTTGTAGGTGCCGTATAATGTTGCGACATTTTCCGAATTTTCATTTATTTAGATAAGCGAATTATCACGAAAATTTATTTTTTTGTACTGATTTTGATCATGTCATTGATATACTATATAAAAAAAAAACGCAAGTTTATGTAGCTTGCTTATATTTTTTCTGAGATCAAACTTTAAAATTATTGTACTATTATTCATATATATCTGAATGATACTTACGTTACTCGATGCGCACACGTGCCTATGTGCAGTCAGCGATGCTTTGGCCGCGGCGGCCATAGTGTTCTTCCAAACGGAATCCTTGACGGTGAATATGGCTTGATACGCCAGCGTGTGCACGTGAATTCTCGTGAGCTCTCTAGAATTCGCGATCGACTTGCCTCTCAGGCGTATAAGTTTAAACAACGTTCTCATCTGATCCAACACCGTTGCGACGCGCGGTGTCGAGTTGGCCACCAACGAGATATTGCCGTAATACATAGTATTATACAGATTCGCTATTTCTTGCTCGTTCATCCCCAGACTGTCGGCGAAGGGAACCACCAGGTCGCACAGCTCGAAGAGCAATTTATCCTCGGCGAATGAGGCCATCTCGAAATGAATTCTGGTTGAGCTCGGACGTTCCACCATCTGTTTCTTTACGTTTATTAAGAGATTCTTGCGTTTGTCTGTAAAATTGCGTGAACATGAAAATTATTTTATTTTATAATGTTATCTTGTACAATCGGATAAATGTGCTTGGTGACAGAAAAATTACCTTCCCGAAATGGATAATTGTCCATCATCTGGAGACCGCTGACTACCAACAAATCGGGATCGTACGTCCCCAGGACTTTGTCAAAGGCGCTGAATGAGCTAATCATTGGATTATTCACGTCGTTATGAACGATGTATCTAGAAAAAAAGGCGTAAAAGGATACAGTTCCCCTCATCAGTTTGCATTAATTTACTCAATCATACATTTTTCTTAGTGTTACTTTTATATGTTATTTCATTATTATCAGTACCTGTTTGCTCTCGCACTGGAATAAGGGCCCCACACTTCACCGTGCTTATATTCCATGATGAGATGAATGTCGTCACGTTTCACCTCGCCACCAACTATATTTATCACCTGCGGGATCATCTGATGTAAGGATCTGGTCATCTTAGCCGCGAGAGTCACGTCGCATCCCTCTCGCGCGAATCGCATCGCCATAACTGCTGCATTTCCCCCGATCGTCGAGTAGGATGAGGGAAACGAGCGTGCTTTCGACACCAATTCGTCGAACAGAGTTCTGTTTGCCATGTAGCGTCTGTGGAAAAAAAGTTTATGCCACTCTGTGTAAGTTATAGTATATATTACAACGATTACGACCAGAGTCTGGATCTCGGTTTTTCTTATTTCAAACTGTGCTGCAACAGTGCCACAAGAAGGAATGCTGTTTATCTGTTAAAATGGCTTTATAACATATAAAATTATACTATGCTAGATCACTACATCAGCTTGAAGTGTGGAATATGGGAACCAAGATCTGAACTCTGATTATGATTATAATGTACGACACACATGGGATAGTTTAAAAGCAATTCGATAATCATGTAAGATTTTTAAATAAAATCTGCACTTTCAAAAAGAGCTAATTTAATTTGCAATAATAAGTGAAAGTTTAATATACATATTTACTGAATGAGATGTCCGAAACCAATCTTATCAGAATAATTTTGTCAATCAAATGGCATTTATGTGTCCAAATCCTCTAAATACTATTAACATCTTGTTTGTAATACGAAAATCTCGTGTCAAATCTATTTGTCAATCAATCAAAGTTTGTTAAATATAATTGATTTGAATAATGTTGTCAATCAAATGGCATTTATATGTCCAAATCCTCTAAATACTATTAAACATCTTGTTTGTAATACGAAAATCTCGTGTCAAATGTATTTGTCAATTAATCAATCAAAGTTTGTTAAATATAATTGATTTGAATCATTTTGTCAATCAAATGGCATTTATATGTCCAAATCCTCTAAATACTATTAAACATCTTGTTTGTAATATAAAAATCTCGTGTCAAATGTATTTGTCAATTAATCAATCAAAGTTTGTTAGATATAATTGATTTGTACAGGTATATAATTAATATACTTAAAATAATTAATATTCGAACAATTATTTGATATACACTTAATCATCAAGCAAACTTTACGCTACGTATACTTGTGGAATATCCCATGTCAAAACAATACAGGCAAAATTCAGACGGCTCTTACTCGGCCGCGGCTCCATGGCGAAAATAATAGGCGAAGCTCTTGAGCAGTTCAAGCTCGGTGTTGATCTCGTCGAAGTGCTGCGGTCGGCCGATCTCGTCCGAGTATTTCAGCAGGTGCTTCGCGTCGATGAAGACGTCGGTGCACACGCCATAACCTATGGCGACTTTCGGCCTCCTGGTGATGACGTGCTTGTTCTCGAGCCTCTCGAGGCCGTGCAGCAGGGTCAGCAGTCGTTTTTGCAGAACGTCGTCGGTGTTGCGGTAGTAGATCGCCGCCAGCACGATCAGCACGGTGAGAAACGTCCCGAATCCTAACCTCTTCTTGTACCCCATATTGTCGCCCGCTGCCAGCAGCCGCCAGCGCTGACCACGCACAATCAATCGGCCGCCCCCCGCGAGGAATGTTTGGGAATGTTCCGGGAATCCTAACCTCCTCTTATATACCCGACCTCTCCTCCCTCCCGGATTGAACGTTGAAACGCGCAAATGCCGCACAATTGACCGCGAAATGTGCATACGTGTACATACAAAATCATCGATTGCCTTGCCTTGAAGATTCCCCCCCCGATAATGCATATCGCATATCATATCTAAATATCGTGTATATTGATTGCCGCCAACGCGAGAATCGTTTGTAACGCCGCAAAACCCACAAATCCCACAATATTAAAAAGTATTGTATAGAATGTTGAGACAAAACCCTTCGAAATTTTGACATTTTTAAGTAATTTATTGAGCAATGAGTATTCACACACACATATATACACACACATATATATATATATATATATATATGTATATGTATATATATATTTATATAATAATAATTTAAAACTGTTTCCTTTGCACAAATATTTTTAATGTGATAAGATGATGGTAATGTAAATTTTTTTATGACTTATTTAGAAAAGATGACTTATAAATATTTGTCTGCTTTAAGTACATATACAATATATAAAAACATCTACATCATAAAAATTCACTTACATGTAGTTACATATATGTATATCAATGTTTTTGATCAAATATTTTTTTTTTTATATCTATATGAGTATCAAATTTAAAAGCTTCTATCGCTATAAGTCAGCAGTCTGTAAACCGTACAAAAAACGAGAAAGTATTTTACATTTACATATTGCGCGATACATTACACATAGGAAATATATAATTAAAGTACTTATCCTATACAGTATATAAAAAATTGCATCAATAATTATATATAAATATAATTAAAGCGATGTTTAAATATAAATTATAAATATTTCTCATAATATCTGGATCAGATTGGAAGAGCAACAAATAAAAGAGAAAATACTATGTACAATTCTATAATTTATCCGCAACGTTTCTTGTCATTGCAATCGTCCAATTATCTCCGAGATCTCGCTATATGTAACTCTTTGTTAGGAACTTATATTAAATTAGTAATTTGAAACTAGACTTCGAAACTAAAACAATTAGACCTGATAATGTTTCGTATTTGATATTAGTATCTGCAAATAAATAGCGTTCATTCAGAAGATGCAGATTCAGTTTTGTATTTTAAAAAATCTGATGCGATAATATCCCAGTAAATGGAAAACGAAAAATGGATTAAAATTTTTTAGTTCTATTTTAAGTGGATTGGCCTCCATGGAAATGAATGCATTTCTATTTCATAATACGAATATAA